AACTTTAAATGCTTATAAAAAAAAATTATGACTACGGATTTTTAATATTTTTCAAATGTTATTGTAACAATATATTAGAAGCATTGTATTAAATTTTCTAGCTTTTTTACACAACAAATAAAATTGTATGGACATATATAGAAAAAAAACTTAAAAAAATTGGAAACTGAAAATATTCGTAAACAGCTCAAGATGAATCAAAATATTTTAAAAATTTTATGGTGTATAGAAAATGCTGGTTTTACTAAAAAATTCCCGGTATTCCTTAATTTTTCATTTGTTTTTCACGGCGCTTTTGAAAACTACTGGGAAATGTTCAACCTTGATCCCCCCCAAGTTCCAACTAGATTCATTTTCCTATCAGAAAAGGTACTGCTGAAGTAAATCGAAGCATTTTTACTGCTCTAAAAGGTCGTGACAGACACAAAAATATATAAAAAAAAAAAACACGTCATTGTAAAATCAATATATTATTCAAAAAGGTGGGCAAGTGGATGTCGCTCTGCTGTACAGTAGATTACATGTGGGTCACTGTATAATGGATGGTATTAAATTTGAATTCAATGATATAATATCATTGTATAAGAAAAACGATTCTGAGCGGAGACGGTATGTCAGTCTAGGTTTAAGACATATTATATACTTATCTATGGTATTAAAAAAATAATTCACCTATAATAAATTCTAAATTAATCATATCACAATATCCATTAGGTACTTATAACGCGTTATACATCAACAACAAACCATGATAATATCACAGATATATAATAGTTTACTTTAGAAGTACCCAAGAATAATATTGTACAATCACAACAAAATAACTAAAAAGAATATTCTAGGTTTTTTAATTTGTAATTCGTCCAAATTTGAACTTAAAATGACTATAAAAATAAACTGTGTTTATGTATTTTTTAGATTTTTTGGTAACATAATTAACTACTTACATGGAACCTTGTTTTAAATTTTCAATCCTTAGCTATAAAATTTGAACATTTTATAAATTAATAACTAAAATATAATTATTAAATTTTAAATTTGATAAATGTTGTCCAAATTTGAACTTTAAATGCTTATAAAAAAAAATTGTGCCTATGTATTTTTAATATTTTTCAACTGCTATTGTAACATTATATCAGGAGCCTTGCATTAAATTTTCACGCTTTTGAGCTGAATGTCCGTAAACAGCTCAAAAAAAGTCAAATTATTTTCAAAATTTTATCGTGTATAGAAAAACCTTATATAAACATTCGGGAAATTTTCAAGTATCTACAGTCATTCGTTTTTTAATTACAACAAAATAAGAAAATCGTTACATAAGAAATCGAGTGAATATCAAATGATGTAAAAATATAAATTTCAAACGCTCATAAAAAATTTAATTTGACTTTCTAGTAGACATATTTTTTTTGACAAAGGTAGACAAACTTATGAGGAATCTTGTATTACATTTTCAAACCTTAGATTTCAAAAGAAAAATTTTTACGAATTTTCAACTCAAAATAATTTGCTAATTTTCGTGATTTTTCCGTATTTTGTCAAGATTTGAACTTTAAATGCTTATAAATAAAAACTGTGACTAACGATTTTTAATTTTTTTTCATATGCCTTTGAAACAATATACTAGGAGCCTTCTATTAAATTTTCAAGCTTTTTTCACCAATAAATAAAATTTTATTGATATTTATAGAAAAAAAAACTAAAAAAATTGAAAACTACTGGGAAATGTTTACTTTTGACCCCCCAAAGTACCAACTAGATTCACTTTCCTATCAGAAAAGTTACTGTTGAAGAAAATCGAAGCAGTTTTGTAGTTAAAATGTAGGAAAAAGTTCATATCTATAGCTAAGATTTGAAAATTGAATAGGTACAAGAAGATTGTCCATAAATTCTGTTTACAATAATAATTACTAAAAAATACGAGTGTAATACCATTTAAAAATGTTACGAATGGCTGAAGTTTTATTTTCACGAAATCAAAAATACAATTTTGAATTTTGTTATAATTATAATAATGGGTAAGTACCTATACTAGTTGTAGAAGCTTAAAACTTTTACCAAATGCTAACATTTGTATTTTGTTTTAAATAATTTAAATACTAATAACGCAATAAAAGTTATGCTATTTTATAATTCATACTACAAATTGGACAAATAGCCAACAAATAAAATTTGATGAAGAGTTTTGGATAAATAATATGGTAGAAAAATCTAAACAGTAACTATTATTTTCTTTATTATCAAATTCATATCTGAATCGTACCTCTGTGGCTCTGTAAAAACTTAGAATCTTATAAATAATAATAGATAGCTTTGATAAGTGCTACTGTATTATGTTTAAAAAAATACCCAAAAACTGTCGTTAAAAAGTATACCTATGTGGTAGCAGTATAACGTAAAATAATATATTCAATTAAATATTACCTTATTTACTTACTAAAAAGGTTACTGTTATAAATTAGATATTATTTACTGTATTAGTATATTGTATATATTTATTATTGAGTAAGTATCTAAAAATGCAATAAATACAGGTCGCGTAAGTACGCGCGATTATTAAAAATATTACGGCGGCAATGCGGCATAATGTACGTGAAACGTGTATCTATGCATTAATTTATATTTACGCGATCCTCCACAGACGAAGGTTGAGAATATAATAATCACCGCTCTGAATGAGCACAATCGTCGGCCGGCCGCCGACGACGAGTGGTGGGCGCGGCTTAAACGTCGCGTGCTTGCGCATCGCGAAAACACCTAACAGCGCGTTCTCTCGGTCATTGTATACGTTTCGCTTTCGGTGTGGCGTCCTCTTAACTAAAACCTATCGCAATAAACACTGTCAAAATCTCAGCTATTTAGACCTGTGTCGTTTATTGTAACGATTTGTACACTATGTATAATGCAACGAATGATTATTATTGTTTGATACCAAAATGTAAAGGTATATTTTGTATATAAATTTTATTATCTTAAATTTGGTATATATTGTTATATTAATTAGTATATTATAATTGTGTATGTAATATACAATTAATACATTATAATTGTATATATAATATACACTATTTAAATGTAATTTATTCAAAGAAACCAAATACTAAGAGGGATTGAATTGGGAAAAATAGAAGAGGGGTTATTACTATATTATCTTTATATATTATAAAAGAAAAAAAATGTTCGTATATGTGCTTTATGCACTCCTAAGCCGTTCATCCGATTGCTATGAAATTTGGTACAGAGATAAATTAGACCTTGGGAAAGAAGGTGGGCTACATTTTGTCTTGCAAAAAGGTAAATAAAAGGTCCAACCCGGGGATGATTTTGAGATTTTTTTGTTTACAAATGGTTGCTTATGGTTTTAATAATTATAATAATTATTATTATTAATGCGACCAGCCTGTGTATTTTATTCACAATATATTGAGTTCGAGCCACGGTCTCGATGGACCAATTTGTTTGCATTTTTTTGATACTCTGCCTACCTGATAATATACGGCTCATATAATCACAAAAACCTAGCTATGGCAACGCGTTGTTGTGTCTAGCTTAAGTATATTATACAATATACATATATTTTAAATTATATATTATAAAAAAAATTTCTTACAAAATAACGTTTCAAAAATGTTCTTACGTAAATAAAACTTTAATGTTAGAAAATTAATAAAGATAAATATGCAAAAAATGTTATGAACATAATATTATTTTAAGGTACTTTTTTAATATTTATAAAATATTTTAAGATCATTATCAGGATAATGTTGTACAATCAAAAAAGCTGTAACTGAGAAAATAATCTGTGTATAATTTTCGTAATATAACTGTTTATTAATAATACAATAACATTATAATATTATAAATATTGTAAATTTAATCCAGTTATAAGGTTATTATAAGATCAATGTTACTAAATTACTGTATATTAGATCAATGTTTTATCAATATATGGGAATAATTATTTTTTTGTACTCGTAAAAGGACATAATACTCAGGTATATTTTATTATTAATTAGTTTATTTACTTGATGAAAAATAATATGCAAGTACTATAGGGTTGTAAAATTTCATGAAATATTTCATTTCCATGAAAAATATATTTTTTTATTTCCAAGTGAACATTTTTAAAAGTTGGTTTATTGTATGAAATAAAGAAAATATGTAACATAGTTACATACTACATACATAAAAATACACAAACATAGACATATAAAAAACTAGATAACCCACTATAAGACAATTTTGAAGTCAGCCATATGCCAACAGGGAAAAATTGCATGATTGATAATATCAAATATGTATATTGTATATATTTGTAATATATATTATATTATTATGTCATAATATTATATAAATATGTATAGGTATCTTATATTCTTATAATCTTATCTATTGAGTCATTTTTTAAACATATCCCTGTTGGCAAATGGCCACAAGACTTCAATGTTACTGAGTGATAAGTAATAACTAATAAGTAATAATTTAATAATTTATATTTTTATTAGTAATAAAGTAATAAGTGGTAAAAATAGTTTAATAGCCAATAGGGGATTCAATTGATAAGTGATAACTGATAAGTGATTACAAAAATATAAAAATTAATACCAATATACAAATACCATATAAAAATATAATTTTTAATTTATAATTTATAACCATTGACCATTAACAGTATTTAGGTAGGGTTTTTAATTCGTATACCTTGGTTGATAAATGATACCTAACTGATAAGTTATTCATAATCAATGTTTTCTGTGTTGTATCAATATATTATTTCTAATCACCTATAAACACGTTTAAAAGAAAAAAAAATATTTTTCATAATTTCATTGAAATATTTCAAGAAGAGTGAAATTTTCAATTTTGAAATATTTCAAGTGAAATATTTCAAATTTACAACCCTAAAGTACTATAATATTATACTACATTATTAATTTTGTATAAATGACAAAAATATATTGTAAATTCATTAGTGTGTCAGAAAAAACTAAAATTATTTCTTAAATAGTTGGAAGTGTGACAGACAGTCTAGACGGCAAATCGTACCATGATGATTTGGATGTAGTTGATACTAGAGATGACATAGCAGATACTCCAATCAAATATGTGGATCCGGGATGCAGGCCGGTTATCTAAAAAAATAATTTAATTATTTGTTTATTTAGGCAATAAAAACTATAAAGCACAAATGTGTACAAATCTATGTTTTTTAAATACTTATGATGCATATGTATATGTCCTAAAAAAGAAGTAGGTACAATGGGTATACCTACATAAAATTTGGTATTATAGACAGTGTTGTCTTAGCGTTTTTCACTACCTACCAAAACTATATACGGTGTACGTCGACGACAATCTTGACATAGTGAAAACATTCTACTTCAACGTACCTAAAGTCTAAAGGTAAAGGGATAACCAGCATCCCCGTGTCTATCATTGAAGATCGCGCATGACCGGGCGTCGTTCATAACCGCACAATTTCAAAAACAGGTCGTCGTTCAAAACCGCACACTATCTTATCTTAATAACTATACCTATGTCCGCCAAATTAAACCGTTCAATACCGCACACATTGATATATATCAATAACGTATACATTTATCATATTTAATCAAGATCACAAAATAATAAAAATAAAACTTTCGGGATTATACGCAGATTGCTATATCTACACGTTTAAGAAATAAAATAATATATACTATTATAGTTTTTATTTTCCAAATATTAGTACCTAATAAGTTACCAACATTTAGTGTGATCGCGACTATATTCGACTTCACGTACATATTTTATAGTAATTTAATATCGAATTCGCATAATGGATGACGTGATACAAGTGTACACAAATAATAAAGGTGCGCAATCAATAATTTACCCAAAGTATTCATATCGACTTTTTCGTACTAATAAAAATTCCGGGGATTTAGTTTGGCGTTGCAATAATAAGTTATGTAGTGTTATGGTGACGACAAATTCAAATATAAATGTATTCATCAAACAGAATAAAAGTAAACATCACCATGAAACAAATGAAATTAACCCAGAATTACTAAATTATTTTTTTAATTAATAACAATAAAATATGTTTAAATTTTAACTGTCAATCAAATGTGTGCGGGTTTGAACTATCGACCTTCCAAATTTCCCTTTTTAACAATAGAATAAATGTGTGCGGTATTGAACGATGTAAAATGTGCGGTTATGAACGGTAAGTGTGCGGTTTTGATGACCGCCGGCATGACCGTGCCCTCGAATTTTGCACTACTGTTCGGTACAATGACCAACGACATCGAACATCACCATTCACTCAAACTCAAACTCGACTCTCAAACATTCCCTCCATCAAAACAAGACCACTAAAGCTCTATCCTCATCTAAAATCCTTAAAAATCATCTTAAATCTTGTTTACCACTTATATAGGTATTAATTATGATAAAGTTGGTTGATCTGTTATTCATTACTTTTAACTTGTATCAATGCCCACATTCAAAATAAAATAACTAAAATTCACCTTACTACTGTAAAATATATCAACTTCATGTAAAATAAATTACCGTATGGTTATACGTTGGTAGTTCTTCATTAACCGAAATTCGTATATCTGTAATGCCAACACAACAAGTGCCCATTGATGAAATTTCTTCGATTTTAATAATGAACATTTCTAATTCACCGTTTAATATCCATGGAATATCCCACTGGAGAACTATTGTAGCGCTACCAATTTCGGTCGTTTTTAAATTCATTGGAGAATCAGGTACTACATTTTGAGCAATAAACAAATCATCATATTAAACATATAACAAGGAGATCGGTGGTTAGTAGTTACTAGTTGGTCTTAGTACTGTACTATTATATAGTATAAGTTACCAGTTACACAGAGCTGTATTTAGAATTTGTGCGCCCCCTTAAAAAGCCTAACCATGATAAATGTTTATTAAATTTGTTTATGATTTTGATTTCCACTTATTTCATTTTAATAATTAAAATAATACAAAACAAATATATAATAAATAATCAACAGCACCAAGTAATGAAAGAAAAATTATTAATCAGTAATCACCGATTTCACAAATGCTGTGGCTCGAGTTTGTAGACTAATAATTTTTTGCACTTTTGTAGAAGAAAAGACGATCTAGTAATCAAAATAGGCTGTATTATCATAAATTACTTATGTCTACTGAATATTACAGCCACAAAAAAAAATTGGGAAAAGTATTAATTAACTATCATCAGGTAGGTATATATTAATAATTTTCGATAGCTATATAGCTATATAAATGTATTTTAATTTCAAACAGCATTATACATTAATATTATATTATATTTTTATTGAAATAATTTATATTTTAAAAGTAACCCCCCTCCCAAATACTTTCACCCTGGGCAGTTGTACCCTGTGCCTGCCCTTAAATGTAGACCTGACAATATCGTTACATTATAATATCATATACCTATTATTTTAATTTAATGTTAAGTCTAGGTATTTAAACTATTATTGGCATAAGGTTATATCGATGTTAAGTACTTACGTTCATCGATGCTGTTATTGAAATAAATAGACGAAAATTTACCACCTTCTGGATAATCTATAGACTTTGGCATTATCTAATATAAGATCAAGTACATCTCGTATAAATATAATTAATTTCGTTAAAAGGATATAATTTGTCTTCTCTCTCAGACCATTGTGAACTTAGATGAAATACATTCGCGTAAAATGGTTTTTTGTGATTGTTGAGTTTGTAATCTTATAGTAAAAACACCTATTCAAAAAAATTATAGAGGATAATATTTTTGAGGGTACATATATGAGTCGTATGACCTAACGGTTTTAAAATTAATTATTAAATGACTTTATATTCACCTTTAAAAATGAATGTTGTGCTTATGTTTAAATGGATATATTATGTTGTTTGAAGACAATATTTAACCAAATCGATATAATATATCATATAGCCTCAAAAAGATTATTCTCTATAATTTTTGTAATGATTGACTTTATTTTAAGATAGTTCAAATTTATAAAAATAAAATGATTTTATACGAACACATATTGTCTATATTGCAGTTGAGCCATAGAGAAAAAACAAACAGCTATCTCAAAGTTAAATTAACTGAATACTGTATGTCTATATACCATAAAGCGTGGCTAGAGGTAAAGGCTCTCTATACGTACTTTAAATATATAGTTGTTGCTCGTTTTACTCAAATTATAAAATGTATGACAATAGTATTCTGGCCACGCTGAACAATTCTGGGGTGGTATAATGGAAACGTTTTTTGTGTTTATCAAAGGATTCTCATCAAACAAAACTATAAATCCGTCTACATTTGTGTCTTGGGAATACCTCCAGCGAATCCCTGCCATATGATTCTTTAGACTCTTTTTATAAACCACTAAATCTTCTACTGGTTTTAAATCTATAAATGTGTAAAGTAAAAACAAACGTAAGCTTTGGTAACATAATATTTAGAAATTCAAACAGTTATAATATAATTAGAGCCTACTCACTTTCAAATTTAGTCTTGAAATTGGTGAGTAGAAAATGATCTGGATTATAACCGAAGTGTGTTTTTATAAATACTTTCAGTTCATAAGCTGTGTTGGATTTTAGCTCGTTAAAGCTAACGTAATTGTTTTTCGTTTCTCTTATTTCTAAAATGTCAGCAACCTTATCCTACAAATAGATATTTGATATGCTATTATAAAAAATAATATATATTATTTACAGAAATTACCTTTAATTCTATGTAGAATTGAGACAAAAATCCATTTAGTTTTGAGCAATTTTCGGGATCAAATTTCCACTGAACAAAAATAGAGTTATTAGTTATGCACATTGGATGATCAGGATCTAAGATTGGTTCAGTTATTGGACCTAATATAAAAATATTATTATAAATAAAAATAATATATTCAACTATGATATTATATTTTTTTTTTACTTGATGCTGGTGTTAATACATCAAACATATTTTCTTGTTGAGTAGTATTTTTGTTTTTAATGTCAACCAAAACTTGTATACTATATTGAGAATTCGGCATTGGATCGTAGATTTCATAGTTGGTTCGATTAAAAACTGTTATTGACGTCCAATTTTGTTCTACTTCTCTTAAGGAACAGCTGAGAATTCGTTTCACCTAAATTTAAAATATAATTTTTGGAGTGACATAGCCATAATTCTAAATTAGTAACCTAGCGAATTTTATTATTTTTTTTCAAAATCTTTTTTTACCGTTTTATATTATAATAATGTAAAAATAAATAGTTCGGAAGCTTTAGAAGGTTTCGGAAAGTTTGGAAGGTCTTATTAAAAATATTCTAAAAGTAAGATTTTTTTAAAAGTGAATTTTTAAAAAAGAATACACATAATTAAAGATTTTTATTTCAAAATGTGTGGATTTTTAATGCTTAATCGATTTGTAAAATCAAAATATAATTTTAGTTAAAATTAATCCAAAATGGCGTGTTTTAAATAGTTGCAAAACATCGATATTCCACAATCGATTATTATATATTATTATGATTATATTATTTAATTATGTAGAATTTACGAGTACTTGTTTGTTTCTTAAAATATTTTAAAATATTAAGTTAAGATACAGGTCACGGTACGATAGATCTGCAGAACATCGACTTTGATGACCATATTTGGTAGAGTTTTTAATACTGAAAGATTGTTATTTTGCTAACATGCGTATATTTCATAAACTTTTTACTAATCATACAATTATATCAATTTTTGTCATGCCCTGTAGGTATATAATCAAGTAATAAGTATTTCAAATACTAATAATAGACCTCAATAGTAAGTTCATATGAATGAATAATTTATAGGTACCTACCTATTTATTATTATACATATAATATAATTATTAATTACTAATTAAATTGTTATACAATTTATGCTGAGTTAAATTACTTTATATTTTATTATTGCTGTAACTGGTACATCAACTGTAGCGTAATTCAGATTTTTATTCACCAATATCCAGTTTAATTTGATTTTTCCATTTTCATATTTAGTGGAAATATTTTTTATTTGGACGTCATTTTCTATATTAAGAATAAAGGTATAATTATTATATACAATGGACGATATTATAATTTATCAAATACTTATAGGACATTAGGTTTATGTTTCTTGTAGATAGTTATTTAGAATTATAAGTAAATGCCTCTTTAAAATGTTTATTAGTCTTTGTATACACTACTTATACAAAAAATTAGTTATTGTTCGTGTTCAAACTGTGTTTTAAAAAAAATTTAATTTACTATTATTCCCTTGTTTGTCTGTTAGTATAACAATGGAACTGCTTAACTCGCTGCCTGCTCATCGTTATCAACAACAACTATATTATTAGTTTAGTTTTTTTCTCGTTTAATGTTTAGTTATTCATTATGCAATATTTATTAGGTATGATGTCGCCAGTGTGATCTTGAGGCCAAAGTTTTATAAATTAAGTGTTATGGTGGCACTTTTGATGACATATTACACATAGATACATGGTTGCTCGTGTTTCCGTTTGCCGCGATGTGACAAGGCCAATTTTTGGAGAGCACACTTTTGCAATCATGCCCTTTGCGAATTGAGTTTCAGTGGAGTTGGTCGGTTCTATTTCAATTCCAATATTCTTTGTCCCTTCTAACGAGGAGGAAAATAACGTTGGTGGCACATGCTTTTTGGAAAATATTGTTCAGGTCATCACATATTCTCGTTATTCATAAAAAATTAACAGTTCTAAGATGTCTTTGCTTTATTCTTCGATACTCGAGTTTGTGATATTAGCGGTGGTTTCCATGTGTTTGCAGGATCACACCAGTTAATTTTTATTCAATTAAATCTAACTAATGGATCTTGGCACCATGCACAATATACAATCATTTGGGTAAGTGGTACAACAGACAATTCAGTATTTGCAGTCATTATTTTAACCATGGGTACACAATTTGTAATAATTGACTATTCTGATTAATATTATTAGTATAATATGTAAAAATCTTGATTCTTGAGTACCTAATGTATTACATGTTTATGTGTAAGAGCGTAGAAAAACCAGTTGTTTGATTTATTAATAACTAATAATTCGTATTTCCAATAATATAGCTAGAGTGACATCAAAGTATGAATAACTATTGTACACATTGAAGACAAGAAGTTTACCTAGGTTTGTATAGTTGTCGACTTTCGATATTTTATTTTCAATGTCCAATATTTAACTCTAAAACTTGTGATATTTTACTTTTCGAGTTTCAATCATTGAGTTTGGTAATTAAAATATTGAAAATTAACTTTCATACAGACATAGAATAACTTCTCTTCTACAATATTGATAATAGGTGTATTTACTCTCAAACCGCTCAATAAACCATTTTATTGGAAATACAAAAATTTATTTTCATAGAATTTTTCAATACTATTCATATCCCTTAGTATTTATAAAAACTGGTAAATCAACATAATTTGTATATTCATGCACTGCTATGACTTTAACATACTATAACTATATCCTATGACCTATGTACAGTATATTGTATTGTATATTGTATTGTACATGCCCCCCCACACGAAAAATAATTTTCCCAGAAAAAGTATGTGGTTCCAAATTTCGTGAAGAAGGTTCCAATTAGTTCCAAATAAGTTCCAAAATATTGATGAAGGTTCGAGGATTATACGACCAAGTGGGGGGGGGCAACTTCACGCAACTGGAAAAACCAGCTGTTTGATTTATTAATAATTAATAAATCAACCACGTTGAACTACGGAACAAAATATACAATTTATGACAAATATTTGTACTGAGTATTTTGCCGATGGCACATTTAATTATGCTCCAAAATATTTTGTTCAATTGTACACAATACATGGATATAAAAATGGATACTACATACCACTTGTTTACTTTTGTTTACATACAAAAACGCACATTTTATCATATTTAATTATTATTGTTGAAATTGTGAATTATATATATAATTATATAATATGTTAATTGTATGCTCATCGACATTATTTTGTATTGGTCATTATTAAAAATATTATTTATATAAATATGTACCTAATATATTGGTTACCCACATAACACTATATATTTTGTATTATCCGTTACTTTCACTATTGTTAGGCCTGAAGCGTCGGATATTATCAAATGCGCATTATTTAAATTATAGACCAATATATTGATAAATTATGTACAGTATATTGTATTGTTACCAATATTCTTATTAATACATTTAATTAAATACAGTTCACTACATATCAACAAATTGTTACATTTGTTCAATCGATAAGTGAACCAAGAAAGCCTGCTATTGTTGTAAGTACCTGCTGTCATGATGAAGTTTAGTACATTAGTAGGTTCCTTAGTATTGTAATATTTAGCACTAATATGAAATATGACTTATCAATATTGTAACATAATATAACAGAGACAGAAAGATCAAGAATCATATTAAATTAAATTAATAATATTTTAAATAAAAATAAATAAATATTTACTTGTCATAAGAGTAGTGATTGAATATATAGGCGAGGATGGTAACGTTCCATTACTTGTCGAAGGAGTTAATTTGATGTTATATTTAAAGCCCGGAAGAAGATTATCTAAAACGTGACCACTATCAGTACTTGGTAGTATTAATTCTTGTTCATCAGATTTTTGTTTTTGTGATTGATTTGACATTAACGTCAAAACATATTTTGTAATATTGCATTCTAGTCGATTTGATATACTCTGCACATTTGATAAAAATAATAAACTGTTTATTAAATGATTACGAATAATGAATTTTATTGAATATGTAAGTATTAAAATTCTTCAATCGTTATCTATATTGAATGCGTATATTTTCAACTATCAAATTAATCATGTATATAATTGAAAAATTAATTAAAAACAATAATTATTACAGATTAAAAATTAACTATATTCTTATAACACTTACTATGCTCCATGTTATGTTTATGCTTTGTATTCCACTCATTAATTTTATGTTATAATCATTAATTTGAGGTTCTAAAAAATATATTAGATATTTTTCAGTGGAGTAAAGAAGAATTTTTATAAGGGGGGGGGGGAGGGGATATACATTCATTATTTCTAAAATAAATCACAGGGTAGTCCTCCCGTACTAATATTGTACATAAATAAAGCGTATGTGTGCAAGTACGTTCGAATGAAGGGAAACTTTTTTCGTAGTTTTTAGTGATCTCTGGGCTCAATATAAACAAAATCACAACAAAAACTTGCCAGAAATAGGATTTTAGGTTCAAGTTTATGATAAATAAAATAATTTATTTTTTTGATTCTTTGTTTGAAAATGTATGAGTATAGGTAAATAATTGTAATAAATAATATTATCTAAGTTTCGATATTTTCTTTGTGTATTCAATAATCATTTCTAATGTTCTATAAATAAATACGTTTAAAAGAAAAATAATACTCCTACACAATTTCATTGAAGTAATTAAATAAAAAAATGTCAAGTGAAATATTACAAATTCAAAACCCTAATATTACAATCTATAGTTATCAAACGTATCTACATAAATTATTGAATACTAAAATGTTATTTTTATTTCAAACTGTGTTATTTATATGATTTTAACTCTATATGTTTCTATAGTGAGTAATCATGGTGTATAGTTTTTTAGTTCGTTTAAATTCCATGATTTATTATTAATTGGTCATTAATGTTTAGTAGGTACTTACGCATACACGGGGTTTTATATTGACCATATACCATATTTTGTTCATTAAAATTTCCATCATCTGCAATTAGCAAAACTCCAAAAGTATATTTAGTGTCCGATTCTAAGTCTCTGATTACTTCAAGTGTAACATTATTAGTGTTGCTTATTGGTTTAATTTCTGAATTTCTAAATGTATTCTCTATTAATGACTGTAAAATAATGATTATTATTATGTATGGATAATATGTATGTTATAACTTATAAGCATAAATAAATTCACCTAAAATGATTCGATAGATATTATCTACAAAATGAATGGCATAATAATAAATTATTAATGCCTATATTAATGTACGAGGTGCAAAATACATAATAGTAAGTAACAACATTACTATCTACATATAAACTCAACAACTCATAAAATGTATATTTTAAGGGAAGTGCTATTGAAAATTGGTCATAATTTCTATTGTAAAAATCGTAACTTTTAGAACGTATAATATGAAATGTAACAGAACTATTTTACAAGTATAGCAACGTTTTTAAAAGAATAATTTGTGAAACAGTCCTGTTACACTTTATATTTTTACAATATCAGTTAAAAAATTTAATGTTAAAAATACATAGTCAATTTTTTTTTTCAAACATTTAAAGTTCGAATTTTGATAAAACTTATACAATTTCAAATTTGATAATTATTTTGTAGTTTTATTTATAATATGTTCAACTTTTATAGCTAAGGATAGAAATTTAAATTAATGTTAAACGTAAATAAGTTATAACATTATATAAATTACTTTATTCAGAATTATATCATTAAATATACTTGTAGTAATATACTAATATCATATAGGCAAACTGACCATCTTCGCTCAGAATCGTTTTTCTTATACAATGATAATATTATATCATTGAATTCAAATTAAACACAATCCATTACAGTGACCCACTTGTAACCTACTGTACAGCATATTGCCAACCTTTTTTGTATTAATTGCGATTACCTTATAAAATAATTGATAATATTTTGGCTTTATAATTTTGTCTCCTCCTTTTATATTATTTTCTTGAAAATCCAATTCTATTTCAATCGCATCGAAATTGGCAAAACGCAGTGTAGGTGGTTCAATTAAGTAATGATATTCTATAAAATCAAACACAAAACTATACAGTGAGTACAATGTATTTTATATTATAGGCATTATGTATATAGGTACCTAATAAATATTAAAATCCAATTTTAGATGAGTAGCTTATGAGTTATAAGTACTTTTTATTAAATTTTAGTTGAGTGGAGTGGATCAATATGATCAATATGATCAATATGATCCACTACCAAGGTGTTCTGAATAGTATTTAGACGATGTACAAAAAAAAACTTTAATAATAATAAAAATATTATACCAGGTGGATTATTTTTTATCAGCGCGTGTTGGACATAATATGACACCGATCCACTGTGCATTTTTACAGTAGCTTAGTGCCTTAGTATACACCCCTGAGTCCTCACTACCTATCCTAGTACCTTGTTCAAACAGTTACCTACTCAATTAAAATACTTTACAATATTCAAATGTATACCTACATTTTGTGATCGAAATCGTTGTTTTATTTTTATTTTATTTGTATAAAACGTATGCGTAAACATGATCTTAGTATAAAGTTTTCGGGTAGATAAGCTATGTAATTTTAATAAAATCCAAGAAATTTCTATATTATATTATATATGTTTAGTTACGTCATATGTAACTGGTCATTTTTGACGGTGTTGGTGGGGGTAAATCGTTAAAAACACAACATTTAGACAATAGACTCATTGGCCATTACTGAAAAAATTCACAAAAAATTAAAGAACGCGTGGAAAAAAATCCTGGATTAAAATCTACGTGTACGATAAGTAATATTTTAGTTATTAATACAATCTAGATGATGATTTCCCAAGTATAACTCCTGGAGAAGTACCTGGGGGCATCTAATCATTTTATAGAGGGTTTTACGCTTAGTCTTCCTATTTGCATAATTAATTTAAAACCAGATTTTAATATTAATAAACTATTGTGGACAATCATAAAATATAGCTTAAGTCTTATGCATGTCTTTAATAATAAAGTATTGAAAAAAAGTGTAAGCTAAAATTAGATTTGTAAACTAAACAAATAATTAATAATAAAATAGAGGAAGCTTATTATGACCAATATTGTTTACACATGTTATCAATTTGAATTTGAAATCATTTGAAACTTTTTTTGTCTCTTCTTAGTCAAATTCAGTTCCTTAAATATGCACTTAAGATAATAATAAACATGTTTATTCTATATTGCGATTCTGTAGCAGTTTAGAATAAATATGACTACTGAGTACAAAGTCTATGGTTACAACTAATGTATTAAATAATTTTTCATATTTTGTTAATGTGCTGAAGAATATTCTTATAAGATATAGATTATATTATTAGTGTAATCAAAATTAATAAATTAAAGAAATATGCAAATATGTAAATTTACAAATGTGCAAATATAAAAATTATTACCAGATAGGTGACAGTCACTAAACCTGTATAAAACCATTAAATATTTATATAAGTCGACGTATTTCATTAATTTAACATAATTTTTAATGTTTTAACAAAATAATCTTACTTTCGCTGCAATATGGTGGTATATATCCCACTGAACAACCATAATTACAGCCACCTGTATATTTATCACACATATTATTAAGACAATGATCGGAACATGTTTGTCTACAATCAGCTCCATATGTACCCATTGTACAGTCTAAATCATAAAATAAAAAAGTATTCAATTAACTATTGATGAAATAATTTTTTTTATACAATCATATTCTTCAAGCCTGTAAATTTTATACTTACCTTCGTTACACGATGGACCAGTTAGTCCCGGTGTGCATGTACATCCATAACTTGTACACATGAACATTCCACGACACATATCAGTCTGTATAGAGCATACTCCTTTACAATCAGATCCAAAGGAGTTTACACCACAACCTGAAATTGTTTAATTATTAAATTGCTGTTATGTCGTACTCAGACATTTAGACTTTCAAACACAGGTCTAGCTATTTATTTATCCTTTTCAGTTTTTACACACCAAAATAGTGTTTAAATTGGTTTATATTTTTTTACTTACCAACTTATTTAGAGCGTAATATAATATTAAGTTTTTAACATTGCTATTTATTTTTCACTACATTTTGCTAAAAAATCAACATGCATGATAGGTAGGTATATTAAATTATTTTAATTTGTTGAATTTATTTCAAATTTATTGTAATATTAATTTATAGAAACAGAATATATATCATATATTTACATATATATTTAAGTAAGAAATACTTCCTATGATTTAATTACTTATAAAGATCTTCTTCTAATTAATTATGTTTTATAAATAATCGATGAATAAAATATTTATCTTACTTCTATTATTAAACTGGGGAAGGAGGTAGTGATTATTGTGTTCGTTCTATAATTAAGTATATATTTGACATTAAAATAATAATAAAATTTATTAAAAGTTCTCGTGTCACAGTGTTAGTAACGAAGTGATCGGGATCAGCTAGTATTTTATATTATATTATGAAATGTTCACTTTGAATTGTGCTTATTTTAATATACACAGTACCTACGAGAGAGCATATAAAAAGCTTAGATCATATATAAATGTATAATGGAGTAACGGACAGAGCTACGTGTGTATTGCTCGTATATTAAGCTTTGTCCAAAATAATACACACCGCCCACTTCATTTCTGAGAACAACGTGTTTTTCCGCATGCATCGCGCCAACAATCACTATAAAATAACCACAGACCACCACGGTTACTTGTCAGTTGTCAACATTCTGCGGAACTATCGAAGAAATGTGAAAGAAATTCGATTCCATGCCATTAATCCTCTCAAACTGCTTTCTACCGATCAAATATGAACTAAACCATGAAGGTAGTAGATCACCAAATCCGGACTCTTGTAATGATTTAATCAAAGAATCGTGACACACACGATAGTGTTTTATGTTCATCGTATGGACTAGAAATTGAATATAGGTGCCTAATGCTAGATTCACACTTTTCCCATTTACCTCCGCAGAAGCTTAGTCAAAACCTTAACGGCCGCCCAGTGATTAGGTTTTCGTTACCATTCCATTCTATCTTTGTATGTGAAAATAACTAATTATTGGGAGGTTATCATTTACACAGTAAATGATTAAAGTTTCTCCATCGTATGGATATTAAACATATGGATGCCACATCGATATTTTAGCTTCTGAGTGAAACGATGAATTTATTGGCTTTACAATGATGTGTTTTTTTTTTTTTTTTTATTTATTTTTTTTTGTGTCTGTCATCACGTTTTAGGACAGTAAAAGTGCTTGGATTTTCTTCAACAGTATCTTTACTGATAGGAAAGTGAATCTAGTTGGTACTTTGGGGGGGGGGTCAAAAGTAAAAATTTCACAGTAGTTTTCAAAACCGCCGGGAAAAACAACATACAAATTAAGGAAAAACGGGAATTTTACATAAAATCTATTTTGGTTTTTGGTGTAACTCTAAAAGAAATGAACGTATATACAAGAAATTTTCACTGGTTGTTTATATTTGTATTTTCTATACACGATAACATTTTCAAAATATTTTGATTTATTTTGAACTGTTAAGGGACATTTTCATTTTCCATTTCTTTTTAGTTTTTTTTCTAAAAATATCAATAAAACTTTATTTGTTGGTTGCGAAAGCTTGAAAATTTAATAGAAGTCTCCTAGTATATTGTTTCAAAGGTAGATGAAAAATATTAAAAATCCTAGCTCACAATTTTTTTTTATAAGCATTTAAAGTTCAAAAATTGACAAAATATGGAAAAATCACGAAAATTAGCAAATTATTTTGAGTTAAGAATTCGTAAAAATTTTTCTTTTTAAATCTATGATTTTAAAATGTAATACACGATTCCTTATAAGATTATCTACCTTTATCAAAAAAAAAATGTCTATAAGAAAGTCAAATTAAATTTTTATGAGCGTTTGAAATTAAAATTTTTATAACATTGGATATTCACTCGATTTCTCATGTAGCGATTTCCTTAATTTGTTGTAATTCAAAAACGAATAACCGTAGATACATGAAAATTTCACTGAATATTTATATTAGCATTTAATATACATTAGCATTAAAAATTATGAAATAAGATGGTTGGGAGTAGGACAACTAACAATTGGAGAGTAAACAATTTTCTTCTCTGGAATGGAAAATACACATCACTTCAGTAGCGGTTTTGCAGTTCATAAGACATTAGTACCATACATTAAAGAGTTTAATCCAGTATCTGAAAAGATTTCAATATTAACCATCAACACTAGCAAAATCAATATTTATTTAGTAAATGGACATGCACCAACAGAAGTAAAAGATGACAATGCGAAAGATTCTTTCTACGACGAAACATACGAGAGCATCAATGGGAACGTGATAAATATTGTACTAGGTGACTTCAATGCAAAATGCAGACGGGAACCACAGTAGTTCCCTTGCATAGGGAAAGAAACTTTGCATAGTAACGGCAATTTCAATGATCAGCGATTGATAGCGTTTGCAACGTCAAATGGGTTGACTGTTAGAAGTACTACGTTTCCACACAAAAATATTCACAAAGCCACGTGGAGGTCACCGGATTGGGTAACCCTGGACCAAATTGATCACGTTCTCATACAGACTAGATACCATTTACTATGTAAGAAGTTATAGAGGCGCCGATTGTGACACGGATCACTACTTAGTGATTGCCAAACTTAGATCAAAGTTAAAAGGCCAATCGAAATTAAAGCAAGGCAAAAGGATAAAAATTAATCTAGAGTTACTCAAAGATGAAATCATGAGGAAAAATTATGAGAACGAAGTCATGAAGAACCTTAAGGAGAATTATGAACAAATGTACGTAGATTTGGATTGAGAAATAGTGAGAAATGCTGTTAACAAAGCAGCGGCCACTAGTATTGGTGAGCTAAAAAGGTCAAGAAATACTTGGTATAATGATGTTTGTAGAATTCCTGTAGACAAACGCCGTAAAGCGAGAGATGACTTTATTAAAACAAACACTCAAATTACTAAAGAAGTTTTCATATGGGAACGCAAAATCTGCAAAAGTACCATTCAAAGGGAAAAAAGGAAATTTTTTAGCAACATACATCAAACCGCAGAGAATGACCATACACAAGGGAGAACTAGAAACTTTTTTTGAGAAATTAAACAGTATAAGGAATTCAACCCTATATGGAATGCAATCAGAGACCAAGACGGACAAATGCTAATGGAGCCAGAGTCAAGAGCTAAGAGATGGAAAGGATATTTTGAAAAATTACCAAATGGTAGGATGCCAACGCAGCCTGTAAATCATAAAGACTATGAAAGAGCGGAGCCATATGTAGAGGATGTTAGTCTAGAAGAAGTAAAAATTGCAATATTTCGCCCGATAAATTGGAAAGCACCGGGTACCGATGATATTCCAGAATAACTCTTAAAATACGGAGGCGAGGAGCTAAATGTAGTATTCCACAGACTGTGCCAGCTAATATGGATGGAAGAACGAGTACCAGATAGATGGAATGAGGCAATCATCATACCATTACATAAAAAAGGAGACAAGACAAAGTGTGACAATTATAGAGGGATATCGCTCTTGAACTCCGCGTACAAGGTCTTCTCTAGGATATTTCTAAATCGTATTACCCCTTATTCGGAGGATTGCCTAGGTGAATACCAATGCGGTTTCCGGAAAGGCCTCTCAACCACAGAACAATTATACATAATAGGTCAAATAATTGAAAAGAGGTACGTATATCGGCAGAATTTGTGTCACTATTCATAGATTTTAAGAAGGCCTATGATAGTATCCACAGAGAGAGTCTCTACAATATTATGTATGAGTTTGGTTTCCCAAAAAAGTTAATAGCACTAACTAAAATGTGTATGGAAGGCATGAAATACAGAGTGAGAACACCAAATCGGGAACCTTTAAAGTGGAAACCGGACTAAAACAGGGGGATGCTCTGTCTCCAGTACTTTTCAACCTTGCCCTAGAGAAGGTAGTAAGAATACTACAGGACAATGAAGGTGGTTTATTAATCGGTCAGAATAAGATACGGCTCCTCGGTTTCGCTGACGATTTAGATAAAATAGGAGATTCGATTGTAGACACAGCTAACGCAGCCTGAGTGTTAGAAGAAGCAGCGAAGAGAATAAGGCTTGAAATAAATACCGAGAAAACAAAGATAATGGAATTAATTGAGAGCGGGGAGGATCGCAGTGAGATGGAGAATTTAGCCTACGAAAAAGTTAGCGATTTTAAATATCTGAGAGCAACTTTAAGTACAAAGAATGATTGGTCAAAGGAAATAGGTATACGGATAAATAAAGCTCAAAAAACGTTCTACGCACTGACAAAATTCTTTACATCCAAAATCCTATCCAGGAAAACGAAAGCAAGACTGTACGTGGATATTATAAAACCCACTCTCACGTGTGGTTGCGAAGCATGGACAACGACCAAGCAAACAGAGAGAAACCTGAGGACTTTTGGGCACAGAGTATGGAGGAAAATATGCGGGGATCTGTCATCGATGAAACAGCGGGGAATTGGCGGAGGAGGTACAACAGAGATCTGTACGATATGTTGGAACAAGCTTTATTAAGAGCCAAAGAACACAATGGTTAGGTCACATAGTGAGAAGAAGAGGGAACGAAGTAGTCAGAGTAGCATTGGAATGGAAACCACATGGGAAAAGACCTAGAGGTAGACCTAGGAAAAGATGGATTGACGTGGTAGAAGAAGATTTAAAAACACTTGGAGTTGAAGATACAGTGCAGTATGTAGTATGTACCTATGTAAAAAAACCTACCTTATACACTTAACATGCTCGTCGTTCATAATACATATAATCTATAAATTAAATAAAATTTGTAAAAAAATATGCAACAAATATAAAAGAAAAAAAAAATTTTAATTGTATAATATGGTAACATAATTCACATTCATTAGTTTAAATATTATTCCTCTAAAATTATTTCAAACCAATTAAACAACTTATATTTATAATTATTAATTAATATAATATATAGGTAGGTATTTACCTACTTAATAAACAAAAAATGGTGTAATTTATAATTTAATATTGTTAAAATGAATAGTGCCTAAAAAATTACCATTTACTTTTGAATATATTTTTTAATTTTACAAAACATCAGGAATTGCTAATAATGTTTACACGTACGTCGTACTTATAGATTTACTCCGAGTTTGTTGACTTATATTTATACTTACATGTATTTTATTTATATGTTGACTATACCAATAAACATCAAAGATTTAATTATTCATTACCTGTCTCACAAAATTTTCCCTTAAATCCAGGAGGACAAACGCATTTTGACGATTGGTTAATAATATATCCACCATTTAAACATGGTCCTAGATAATTAGAAGGTTGAACTATACCTGCTTAAAAAAAATAAATGACTATTTATTAAAAATGATTATTTTACGTCTTTATATAGCTGAATTATTTATAAATTATATCCAAGCCTGTAAATTTAATCCACTAAAAACTATAAAACATGCATGCATTTAATAAAGCACTCATCAATTAGGGAATATTCAAAATTATGTAGTTAATAAACTAATACAAATGAATTTATGTGAAATAAACTTTTTATCTTAAAACATTTTAAACAGCTATTGTCTATTAGCTTTGTTATAGGTATGAAATTTGGATTAATCAATAATCATTCTCTCAAATATGCAAAAAAAAAAACCGTTAAAGGCATTTATATGAATTTAAGTCACAAAATCAAAAAATCAACAAAGTAATAATATTTTGTATAAGACGGCTGGTAGTTTCTTGAATCAAATTTTCACTTCACTCAGAATCAATTCGTTGATATTAAATAATCATGAAATGTGCAACCATTGTACATTGTATTTGCAACTATGAACATGAAATTTGGAATAATGATTCCTTTAATACTTTCACCGAGCAATAAGAAAGGATTTTCTAAAATTCGTGTTTTAAAGAGATGCTCAAACAAGGACTTTGAGGTTCAAGATGGAAATATTGGAAATTAATTTTTTTTTATTTTATAAATAGATGCTATAGGTTACAGTCTACAGTAGAAATTAGTGTTTATTTATTATTGGTTGCCATTGGTTATTCGGACAGACCAGGTACAAGATTGCATGAAATCTGCAGTAAGTTATTTTATTAAGTGTTGTGTTTTTCTACTGGCAACGAGGTACACGGGTTCAGCTATGGTATTATATAGAAAAAAAATTCTGTTCTATTCATGAGAACGTGTTTTGCTCTCTCGCATATAAATTATCATGGAACTCTATCGCTTGTACACCTTGTGTTTTATCCAATTCAATAATTCCCATTTCCTTGTCCCTACCATGTGGTGAACGGTCATATGTGTGTGAATTTATTGTACACAGCGAAAGTGCTCCGATGAAATTGACTATCTTGTTTTTGTGGGGGGAATGCGTAAGAATGAACTATTTTTATTTGCCACTCAGATTCGCTCTCAAGTGAAGAGGAGTGTATTTATGATTTATTCTTATTTATTAATAACTAATACCATAAATTTAGTGTAGATGACTAAAAAATAATTAAAATATCATAACATACTTTTTTTCATTTTTATCAATAATTATATTAAGATGTTTATTTATCAAATTATGTGGATTTTTAAACACATACTGTTTCCCAGAATATTGAATGGTTTTGGTATTTTTCCAGAAATATGATCCACAGAAATAATTCGAACATCTTCTCCATCTGCGGAATTATTAAATATATAATATTATTACATAAGCTACTCAATTTTGGTCATGGTCAATATTAAATATTCATTAAGTTTTATAATATGATAAATGTATGCCATTAAATAGAAATTATTATAGAGTACTGTCGATTAGTCAGCATTGGAATAAATTGTGCCGTGGTCTTACCGAAATAAATATTGTGATACACTGATACGAGATTTTTGGGAAATATTTTGATACCTATAATATTTTCCTGGAAATATTTTTACCACAGTTAGGGGTTTATTTTTACGTCTTTAAAATTTATGCTCAGCGGTTCACGTTATATGCCAACAGCCTAAAAATTTGAGTAAATCTACGTATTATGAAACTTGATGGGAAGAACATTATATATATATTTTATTGGAAGTTTAATAATAATTCAGTTTTTAAGTGAGTTATGAACATTTTTAGTTTATATTTATAACTAGCCGATCCCGTGCACTGCGTTTCCCGTTAAATGTAAAAACTCTATATAACTCAAACTTTGTACGGTGTATGGTGTTCTTATTATAACTCTTCTGTCGCCTGGGATAAAAATTCTGATTCGCAGCAGTATATTATCAGGTAGGCAGTCTACCTGCGGTAGATCGTGTACCCCGTGCTGTTTTTACTTAACTTTATAATTTAATTCTTCAAAAACTATCAAAGTTATACAGAGTGTGTCACTGAGCTCAAATTGAGCTGAACTAATTGTGAATGCCGAGTCTGTTGACCAATATTTTCACCTCATCCACGAAGACGTGGCATTTTTTTATGTACGTAACTTATTTTTGAGTATAATAAGCTCAATATTTACGTTATTGAGATAAATACAATATCAAAACACAGTGTACAAAAAAATTAAATGCATTGAATAAATACACTGATTTCACGGCAACCAATGGAGACCATTTATAAACAAAAATTTCCACCGTAAATCTTTAAATAACCGTTTGAGCACATCCCCTGGTTGGACCTAGGGGGGTGATTTGTGAATCTAAATTATCTGGGACGTCACGCAAATGCATACGAAAAAATTCATTCAAATCGGTCCAACCATTTAGGAGTAGTTCAGTCACAACTCACATACAGTATAATTATAGCGCTTAGCAACACATTCAGCGATCATTTTTATATTATAAGAAATCAAAAAACATGCCAGATTAACCAATAGCAACTAATACAATATAATACACTGTTGAGCCACTGTTGTAATTTTTACATCCAGATTTTTAATTTTTCGGGGGATTTTCCTAAATTTTTCTTTCGTATAAAACTTCCCCTGGCAATTACAAAACATCTTATAAAAAATTTGATCCAAATCAGTATGGCCTTTCCTCGAGTCTTAGCGAGACTAACAAAGAACAATTAATTTTTATATATATATAAGATACACGCATAACTCACTTAAAAACTTAATTATCGTAAAAAAAACTTCTAATAAAACACAGATAATGTTCTTACCATAAATTTTCACAATATTTCGATTCACTCTAATTTACCTATAAGCTAACTACATAAAACGTGAACTGCTGAACGTGAACCAACAAAATATTGTACTATATGATTGCATAGAAATATTGACTAAAAATTCTTATAATGTTACCATAAGGTTTTTTTTTTTAAATATATGATTAAAATTTTTTAAATGTTTTTTATAAAATATTTTTAAAAATATTTACTTCTTAGCCAAAGTATATAACTAAAATATTTTTCAATTATTTACACAACTTTTAAAATATTTTAACAACTATATATTGTTTTCCTGAAATTATTCATGATTATTTAAAATAATTAGGAAATATTTTTATGTTGTGTGAGAGCAAATTTACACACAGAAGGTCACATTAAACTTCATTATGATAAAAATTAGAGTTACCGAACTATTATGAAACTTGACGGTAACCCACATCCGTTTTCATTTATTTTAAATATAAATAAGCATTAATGTTTTTTGTATTTTTTACCATAGTTCGAACATTGGGCAATTCGTTTGATCCCAAATTTAAAATATTGATAAAAGTGTTGAGCACTAGAGCTGTCCGTCGCGGTTAATTGTAATGATAATTTATATTCTTGATTGTTCTTAAAATCAATATTAGTAATTTTCAATGTTGTTATACCATCCTGCATGAAAAACAAATGTTACTGCTATTATTTTCTAGCCTCTAAATAAAAATAATTATTATTTTTGATTCACTCAGAATCTATAGTAAAAAGTGTTAGGTACATATTGCTCCAATACTGTTGAAGGTATCAACATATTATTATTTTCATCGTTTACAGTCATCGTGATAACAAAAGGATTGTTCACATCGTCGTATGATTCAGATTTTGTATAATATGTCATTGTTAAACATGTTTGATCATCTTTATCGGGTGTCCAATAAAACGTGAAAAAATTACAGATAATAGGTAAATCACTACTCATATAACTGTGTAAAACGCATTTTTTGATTCTATATTCATGAACATCATAACATTTATTAAATGGGTTTCCTAAAAATTATTAAAGCAGTATAATATTAGTATTAAAATGTTATGTAAGTAGATACCTATTTTTCTTATTAGGTATGTATTTTAAATTTCAACATCTAAAATTATAGGTGAGACTAGGTACCTATTGTTAAATAATGCATCCGTGTTGTTAAATGTGCACTTAAAAAATTATTGAGCTTTATCATTATTGGTCATATTGAAACATATTATATAATATTATAATACACGTAAAAATGGTTTGATAGTTAGGTTTTTGTAAGGGTTTTAATAATTCTATTTTTGATTATATTGGATTTTGAGATTTTTGAAACTTTTTAAATTGAAAAAACATTGATGTTATTAAAGTTACAAACAGTGAACTGAATGCATTCATATGTATGTTTTATTTTGGTTTGTACAAAGAATTAGTCTCGAACACGTACGTTTTAATCAATACCTATAGTAAATAGTAACGCAATAATACATAATACATAATTAACTAGTACATAAATAGACCTTATATTTTGTACATATTCTTAAAATTCATCTCAAAGAAGCATAAATTTCATGTTTTAATATTTTAATAATTTTCTCTTTTTTTTTAATATACATTTTGATTAAAATTGTTTTACTCGGTCTAAACACCGAAACTATATGCAAGGTTACTCAAAAGTTATGGATTAAAGCCATAGTATTAGGTATAATACTGTAAGGGCCTAAGGTACAGGTGACAGGTCACAGTGACAATATTATTATTATTTTTAAAGTTTTTACGTCTATGTTTGTACAGCAGATACTTCGAGCAATGCGGCACAGTCGATCATGTTGTTTAAGACATATAGACCTACTATAATAATTATTTTTGATACATAGTAATATAGGGAACCATATAACGGTTTTCAGTAATATAGCATTATTTAAAAATACCCAACCTTTACTTTGTGTATCTACATACTACAATTATTACTTAAGTACGCTCATAACACAATAGCTATTTAAAAATGTTATAGATACATGTAGATAAACACGATTTTTGATTTGTATGATTTATATTTATTTGTGTGGGTTATTATTAAAGAGTGGATGGAACCAGCCACCGATGTCGGTCCATCGGTCATGAACGTTGAATGTTCGGGCCGTAATGGTTACACAGTACCTATGCAATAGCAATATTACAGAACAATTAATAGAAAAAAATTATTAATGAGAGGTATTCATCATGTTACTTTTCTGTCTTATCTTTCGATAAACTGTAATTGAATAAGTATTGTATAGTATTGTAAATAAAACCTTAATCTACCTAAGACCTAACTAACATTTTTTTCGATCAATTTTGATGTGCAGCCTGTATAGAAAACTATTTATCATATTTGGCCCAGTTAGGTGATAGTTTGAGTTTGATATGTCTGGTGTAATATGTATACGGTCATTTAGTCGTTACCAAAAACTGTATAAAATATCAAATAGTTCTGTAGGTATACCGAAATAAATCGAATGATTCTATTCCTGACACTTTATAAATTAAATTAGAAAAAAAATAGATTGATATAATATAACGAATGTTATAAACAGATTAAAAATCAGGCATACAATACAGAACTATACTTATCTAATATAAAGAAGTAATTAGTTAGTTTGCATTATACATAATATAATACTTATTATAAAGTAGGTTATTTAGGTGGTCGATATTAATGATCAAACTTATATTATACACAGAAAAGTTCGTTTATAATTATACTAACTTAAAATTGGCAAATACTTTTTAAATACGAAATTTAAATATTATATTATATGTAAAAAACGTAGGTAATGACTTATGACTTATGACTAACATAGTAATATAGTAATAATATTATATTGTATATTCAAATTACCTGAATCCACCAAACGATTGTCATTGTTTTTATTCCTGTAACAACCGCGTTGTCCTATAGGTAATAAACATAATTTATTGAAAACAGTCATAAAATAATATATCACATACCCAACTACGATAAAATTGCATTACTATTTTTAAAATTTATTAGGAAATATATTTTTCCGGGAAAGGGGGAGGGCAAATCTAAGATATTGCTTTCAAATTATAATACTTTTTAATATGTTTTACCAATTTTAAGTCATTAGAATCCGTGCTCTATATACTAATAACTAATAAGTAATAACTCACCATTTAAGTCTATACTTTGTCGATCCCAATCATTTGAGTTATATGAAGTACTCATTCGACTATTATTCTGAAATGATCCAAGATTAATGATTTCTTTTATATTCATTGATATCATATGAATATCGTTAGCATTGTCTTGTATTGGCATTCCAATAGCATTGGTTCTTGAATGTATTTCAATAACTGAGTTCATTAAATGGAAGATACCTGAAACCATTCATGAATCCGTTTAACAATATAAAACAACATAGGTACACATTTAGATTTAAAAAATGAATTAATATTTAATTATTTAAAAATTCAGATTAATATAATCTCGTAGAGTATAATTTTATAATATTTACATGCAATTTAAAAGCTAAAATAAAACTATTTTAACTAATTTTAAACCACGATCTTATTTACACCATGGCACGGTACCTAAGTACCTGCGGAGATTTGTAATATATTCGATGTTTTTAGAAAAAATAAAATAAACATATCGTACTAATAGTAAAATAAATTACTAATAATCCTTATGTCAAATAAATTATAAAATGTTACCAGAAGTGTGTTCAGAATCATTTTTCGTATACAATGGTTTTATACAATTTAATTAAAATTTTAATAAAAATAAAAATTAATTTTTTTAACTTTTAACTTAACTAGGAAGTTTAATTGACAGTTAAAATAACATAGATTAGGTACCTCAGTTGATTGAAAATTAAAACATCAAGTTAATCATTAATAAACATAAATATAAAAGTTAATACTATCAATAGATTACGTATAGGTCACTCAAAGATGTCCCATGGACATCTTATGCGCAGAGAAGAACCAGCAATGTGCCTAACCTGCGGAGAACCTCTCACAGTCAAGCACCTCCTTATCCACTGCCGTATCCATATAGATACCAGAAAAAGTCTAAAATTGCCCGACAACCTCTTTGAAGCCCTCAGCCCTATCCATGACAACACCAACAAAATAATCATATTTTTAAAACAAATTGATATGTATAATTTAATTTAAGAATTTATTGTATAACTACACTCTATTATGTACTAATTACCAATTTCTGTTGCAAGCTAATAACCTTAGTATTTGATGCTGTACCGTGAATAAAAAAAAAAAAAAAAAAAAAGTTAAAACAAAAATAAGAATTTTTCATGATAAAATAATTTTGAATATAGTAATATTTTAGTGGATTAGATAGGTAGACTCTTATACCAAATGCACGTATATTGTGCATAAACTCTATAGATTATTTATTTTTAATAAAATTTAAAAAAAAAAGTTAGGTATAATATTATATTTATTATGATCTTGATTCCTATTTGATATAAAAAAAGTTATTTTTTCGTTATTAATTAAGATCTGTTTAGTTTAAATATATTTTATTAATCATGTAAACTGTAAATTTAAAATAGGTATATACAATATACATCATTGTAAATTATGATATAAGTTGAATAAAATTGTTTATTAAAATTAGGAAATTACTTTGTGACCCACTACTAAATGAAAAGATTGAATTCACTTTTTTAATTGAGTTAAGTTAATATATTTTTCCATATTAACTTTAACTTATTGAGTTAAATGTATGATTTGTTAACTGATAACTTCTAACACATCGATATTGTGTTCACATAAATTAACTTGAGTCAATTATTTTCATTCAAAAATGGGGCCGCGTTTTTCGTCGAATTAAAAATGAATGGGTTTAGGTATATCGGAGAGGGTCTAGGACGTTTCGCCGCGACCGATTCGCCGCGAAGGGCTAACCTCCTCACAAAATATCAATAATACCAATTATGTACCTACCTATAATTTAACATAGGTATAACTAATAGGCATTAGGTACAAAGATTATACATTTTTTTACCACATTATACAACATTATATGCTACTAAGTCAAATTAGAGGATTCAGCCGTATTATCTATTAACATATTAGAACAAATTAGGTCAGGATTGGTAGTTATACTCTGGAATTATTAAAACAACATTGTTAAATCATTGATTGTTACATAATTAATTATTAATTTAATTGATTAATATTTAATATAATAACTTTTAACTTATTGAGTTAAATGTATGATTTGTTAACTGATAACTTCTAACACATCGATATTGTGTTCACTTAAATAAACTTGTGTCAATTATTTTTATTCAAAAATGGGGCCGCGTTTTCCGTCGAATTAAAAATGCATGGGTTTATATCGGAGCAGCTGTAGGTACACCACGGACGTAATACTCTGCGTTTTAAGCCATTGATAGAAGTATCAATGAAGGTATGATAAATTAAAAATGTAATAGTCGTATGGTAAGGTACCTACTTATAAGTACAAATAATAAGACTTTTTATATAGTCAAATTTGTCGTTATTATTGAACCACTACTCTCTTTAGTATATTCATAAGAAACAAATGATAATAATTTACAAACCATTTCTGCTTTTGAATCTCGATAAATCTGTGACTCTATAAATTGTAGTAATGTCAAAATCTTCATAAGCATCTAAAATAAAAACAAAATAATATTGTACAATATAAAACTATAAATATTCACTCGCATAAGTTAATACATTTAAATACAACAAACATTTCGTGCACCTTTAATAAACTTATTTATTATAACTTTAATATAGGTACCTCGTTCAAATAACATTAAGAAATAATAACGCTTTTGTTGCCCCGTTACCCTAATACTGTCTTATGATGGTGTAATTTCCTTTCACATGGCCCCCTTAATTTCCCTTTGAGGAGTTCTTAAATAGTGCAGAGGGCGTTTTCGGTATTTTAGTATACCGTGCTTCGGTAATTATTACTATTGTAACTATTAATACCGCGCCATGGTATAATTACCAAAAATAACATACATTTTCATATATTAAAATGTTTATAATCATAATAATAAAATAACAAACATAGGTGATTTTTAAATTATAATTTTCTTTGGTTGAAACACTTCTAAATTACCGTACCTACACGTTCTTCGATATTAACCAAGGTAATGGTATTTTAAAGCACACCAGTAGTAAACAATTACCGATTTACGGTATCAAAATTTGAAATTCCTTTGGTCATATTCTCAAAGTTCACTGTATTAGCTATAACTTTCGTCAATACCTAAGTTTTAGAAATACGTTGTGCCAAAATGAGATAGTATTAGTAGCTACTAAATCGGCCTATTAAACAAAATACGTCGTGTCGTATCATTGATTTTACATTTTTATCCAGTTTATTCTTAGCACATTCTTAAAGATGTGAATATTTATTTTAAGTGTTTTTAATAAGAGAAAACAGTTCTTAATGTTGTAAGAAGTTTAAGATTTTTGTTGTGAGTTTATAAAATAAAATATCATAATTGTAATAACTGTAAATGTAAATATTATATTTTTAAATTAATTTATGTATAATAAGTAAATAAATATTATAAAATGGTGTTTATAGTACACTACAATATAATACACAATAAGTACACATATTTAATATGTACCTACCTATATACAATAGGTTTAATATATTATTTGTTTAAGGTTTATAAGAAAATAAATTCCATCGAAATATATACTGCATGTTATCGGTATTTTATCATATTTATCATATTTCTCTTATTCGTATTTTGTGTATGTATGTAAAGAAAAATATTATGCAAACTTACATAGCTATAAGTACCTATTATATAGGTAGAATATGTAGATTTTTTATAAAGTTCACAGCAAAGTACCTAAGGTACTCTTATGATTATACATTGTATTTTATATAGTACATATTTTGTGAATCTGATCTGTTCAAATTTAAATGATTAATTTATTGCCATTGAATAATTAATATATTATGTATGGGTTGGTTAATTGTTTCGAAACATCGTTGCTTGAATTCAAACATTAAGATAATCATTTTTATTTATTAGTTATATTTAGCATCAATAGGTATTCTTTTTCTATCACCTTAAGAGATCGCCACACCCGCATGTGTTGTCTAGGTCTTACAATTGTACAATATAGCAAAAACTGTTTTGCGCGGGACAACTTTTCTCGCACCATTTTTGTTGTAGAACTAAAAAATCACAACACTTAAAGAAGAACTTTATCTGTTCAATAGAATAACTGTACATCTTTTTGACAAAAACCTAAATGTTTAGAAGCAAATACATTTTATTGTATTTATATTAACTAAAATTTTGGAGCCACTACTACGAACACAGAAAGATAAAAGTTGTCCCGCGAAAAACAGTTTGTGCTACGTTGTTAATTTGTAAGACAGAGACAACCCACATGGGTGTGAAGTACTCTGAATTATTTTGCACTAAGTTATCAAGTATTATAATTAGTACACTTACAATTAACATAATATTTTATAAGTTATAAATTCTTAAATCATTAAATCAAATACATATTCATAATAATTTAACCGGTGCTTACCATCTTTATGACGATAAAATGAAATTGTGCTTTCAGAAACGTTCAAAATGTGTGTAAAAATCAAGATTAATACATACAATAACGTGTTGCTTTTATAAATCATAGTGGATAAATATTTTTTTTCATTAAATTCTTGAAACATAACACATTACGAGTTGTTGAAATTATTAACTGGACAGTTCGTAATAAACTAAATGCAATGTCGAGAATAAGAGTATAGTTAGGTATTTAGTAGGTAGGTACAACACATTCTAATCATTTTCAAGCTAATAAAAATATGAAAGGTTAGGTTAATGATTATAATTTTGATGTACATTATAATATATATTTATATATATTGATATTTATTAAATGTACATAAGTTATAATTTTATGATATATTTCTCATACATTTATTTAATCAATGATTAGGTAATACAGCAAGTTACATTTACGTTTACATTTTCTTATTACCGATAAATAGACGTCGCTGTTATTTCTTATATCTAAAATTGAATTCATAAATGTGATCTTTATTACCATACAGTGTTTAATTTAAGTTGTAAGGTCATCTCGTAAGAGAATTTTATTTATCTAGTAGACAGTATAGGTATAATAATTGTTATTGAATTGGAAACTTTTTGTAACAAATAAAAACTTCAAGAAGGTTTATAAAAGAACTTTTTCATCCTGCTTTGGACCAAAACGATTGTAGGTAGGTACCTAAAATATATTTAGCCCTCGTCTTTAAATTTTATATAAGCCTATAATATAACTGTAAAAAACGCGTTAAAGTACCAATATTAAATTAAAAATAATACGAGTTTAGACATT